TTTCAGCTTTGAACATTGAATAGATTAGGTCACATGATCTGAAAGAGCATCTTCTCTCATTTTGCCAACTGGGCCCTAAAGACCTTATATGAGACCATATCTTCCAAATGCCCTTGCCAAATAAGGTCTGCCAGTAACCAGGTACCCTGTTTATAGTAGCAGAACCGTGGAGGGATGTTCTCACTGGAGAAGGTCACCTGGTGCCTCTGTTCAGATTTGGTTTTTACACCAGTTGATGATCTTATTCTGTCAGTTGTTTAAAGAAATGTTTTCATATCTTTAGATCAGCCTTCTCCAGATGTATTGGGCTGTATCTTCTATGTGGCCATCAAGAAAACACCAGATTGTATAATATTATTTTAGTTCTTCACATTGTTTTAGGGTACTTTTACTACTTTACTTATTTTGATCATTTCTTGCAAGCTTTATAATTACATACTTCTGTTGTATCTCTGCACTGCCCTGAAAACTGCATTTACTGGGAATTCTAAAAGTATAGTTAACAAACTTAGCACTTAGTGTGCAGAAGGTATACTTACACAGGGCAAACTAGATCAATGTTTAGACGTAAATGAGACACAAAAGTTTTAACAGTAGGTAAACAATCAGGAGAATTCTAAGAATTCATCTACTATCCCCATGGAATTTAAACATTAATCTTGTGTAATAATACATCATAAAAGTGTAAGTATAATTTTAAGCTTTAAGGACTATAACAAAGAAGACCAAGTGCAGGGGCACACTTTACAGTGAAGGAACTAGGCTCTGAAACCTGAAAGGAGATCTTCCCCCCTAAAGAAATTCAGCCCTTTTCTCTTCTGCACTCCCTATAACACCTTCTATCCATATAATCTCTTACACAATTTTTCTTCAAAACATTCTGGAGCCTTATAAGGCTCTTCCTCATATCCTGATAACCATGACAGATCACATCCTCATGCCTGTATAGGTTGCCAATCTCATGTTCAATCAATAGTGTTGATGATACAGCCTAGGGTTGGGTTCTGACCTATTGGCCACATGACACTGCTGTGGGCCAGCCCCATCTTCTCTGATCCTCTCAGAGGAGACAATCTTCATCTGTGGGGTGAAGCCTGATGGATTCTATGATCCCTACAGACAGGGTAGAAGGTCCCCAGGCCGCAGGCTTTGAGGGTTAGCGAGACAAGCAGGGGAAGAGGCATTTAGCTGCTGCTAGTTCTTGGATCCCAACCTGAGTTATGACTAAAGAGCTGCCCAACCCCCCACAATGTTTCTTGCTGGAATGGGGGTGAAGAGCATCATCTGTTCAGTGGGCAGACACACATCCTATGGTCTAGCCATCTCTCCAAATTTGACTCCTTAGGAGAACAATTGGTGGATGTTTTTTTCCACTGGCAGGTGATGCCATGGAAATCCACCAACTGCTTTCCTTAAGCTGTCCCCATTAAATCTGTGAGGACAGCACCAGTTGCTGGCCTTGTTCTTGAGGCAGAAGACACCTCAGCAGTGAGCACAGTGCAAAGTATATCTACATAACTTTGGGCCACTTCACAAACTGGAGGAAAGCAGCTGTGAGGAAAAACCTATCATTCCTTCACTTATGGAAAATGTCCAGAAGCAATGTCCTATCATCTCCATGGTGGAGTTTGCTTCATTTGTTATAAAAAGTAAGGAAGTGATAGCCTCCTTTGCAGCTGCAACTATGTTGAAAGTAGCTGTTTCTGTCATGTGCTACTGACACTCAGAGGTACATTTATCCCAGGGAAGTAGACAACTTGGTTAGCCCTGTTGTGATGTGAACAGAGCCCATGTTATCACCCATTCTGAATCTCACAGTCAGGCTTCACACTAGGCTGGCTGTATATCTTAAGTCTCTGGACACTTAATCCCTTATTCAGGAATTGGCTTACTCAGCAGAAAGCTCTCAGGCATGATTTGGGTAGATTCACTGCAGACAAGAATGAAGCATTGATACACAAGTTTTGTCTGCTGAAGTCAAACCCTTCATATAGGTCTCGGTTCCAGGATTTTCAACTCAGAGTTCTCACTCAAGGCACAAATCACCAGGCTCAAATTATTCTACTTTGGATACATTATGCAAAGACCTAGCTCTCTAGAGAAGGCTCTAACGCTGGGAAAGGTGGAAGGAAAGAACAGCTCTAGATCCTAGCCTACATAGAATAACTTAAGCAATGCTATGTCAAACTTTGGATGCATTTGTGTCATATCTCCAAAAATGAACCAAAACTGACTGATTTGGGATGAAACTGAAGTGAGGGGTGCTGAAAGATTTGAATGGGATTTTGGAGATTTAAATGGGAATGATAAAAATATGGAGAAGAGTGAAGTTGAAACAAATATTGGAAATGCTAGTGGTTAAGAAAAGTAAGTTATATATGTTGTGGGAATACTGGAAAAATGGTAAGGTTGCAGGAGTAGATGGTGTAACTGAAGAAATGTTAATGTATGGGTGTGATTTGCTGATGGAAGAGCTATGCAATTTATGTAACACAGGTGCAATAATTGTATCCACGCCTGATAATTGGAAGAATGTCAGAAAAGGTAGCAAGAGTGAATGTAAAAACTACATCAGAATTAGTTTGTAAAGCATGTTTGGGAAGATATTTGCAAGCATTCTGATTGACATGGTGTGGAAGATGACAATGATGGAAATCTGGAAAGTGTGCTCCTTTGCACTGGGAAGAAGATATCCAGATTTTTGCTCTTCAACAGATAACTGAAAAATGTTTGAATGTGGAAGAGTTCATTGTATTTGTGTTGGTTAAAGAAAGTGAATGTGGTAGAATTATGGATTTTTTTTTGTCATTATGGAATTGAAAGTGTGGTAGAATTATGGATTTTTTTTTGTCATTATGGAATTGAAAGTGTGGTAGAATTATGGATTTTTTTTTGTCATTATGGAATTGAAAGTGTGGTAGAATTATGGATTTTTTTTTGTCATTATGGAATTGAAAGTCAGTTGCTGAATGCATATGATAGACATGAAACATGCATAGGACTAAATACTGTATGTGTAGTTCAACACTGAGCAGGAAGTAAGAAAAGGATCAGAGATGACCCTTTGGCTGTCTAATATATTAACAGGTAAATCCCATGGAGACTAAAACCTACGCAGTGAAAGGAACTAGGTGTGTTTAGCCTGAGAAGGCTAAGGGGAAACATGATAGCAGTATTCAAATATTGAGGGGTTGTCACAGGGAAAAAGATGTAGATTTGTTCTCCCTAACTCTTGTGGGTAGGTCAAGAATCAATGGGTGGAAGCAGAGGGAGATCCACACTTGAAATGGAGGAATTTCCTGACTGTTAGAGCCATTAAACTACTATAAATGTACTATATGTAAATATATATATATAAATGTACTATAAATACTATAAACATTAAACTACTATAAATATTTATAAATACTATAAACTACTATAAACTATATGGCATGGGGCCAGGTTACCTGAAGGACCACCTCGCCCCCACGATTTCAACCCGTCCCACCCGATCTCACAGATAGGGCATGCTCCAGATCCCCGTGGTAAAAGAACTTCAATTAGCGGGGTCCAGAAGGCGGGCCTTCTCTGCTGTA